GGCATCCCAGAGTGGGGGACTAATTGCTGTGAAAATCTTCCTTCCAGAGTCATTCAAGAAATAGGTTGTATCTGTTGCTTATGGGATCTCCAAGTCCTGTCCTTGCCAGCAGAGATACAACAGCCTGTATCATTTCTTTCCCTCTAAATCCTGCTCTGGATGTGGCTTGCTCAGGGACCAGGCACTGAGGTCTTCGTGTCCCCCTGGGAGTAGAGCAGGAATGGGCTGTCCAGGTTCCTGTACATCTCCCAAGGTGACTGAGCCAGGTTTGTGCAGACAGCAGTAAATGACGGCTTTTTCTTTCAGAGTTGACTTGTGTCCTGGAAGATCCTTCATTTCTGGTGTCCTCTTCCTTTCCTTCATCTGCACTCCTAGAAAAGGAGGAGGATAACAGAGGTGGATAGTGTATTTTTTATTTTTTTCCTGGTTTTGTTGGCTTGTTGGTTGTATTTTTCTCTGTGTAATACAGCAGGGAGCATCATGGGGACCCTGTTGTGGTTCACATTTGTAATCTGTCCTGTTCAAAGTCATTTGACTCCTCGCTCTTTAGACAAGGGGGTGATCCCACAGAGTGCCCAGGCACTGCTATGACTGACTTCTCAAGAAATCAGACCTCTTGACAACTTTTTCAGTCCTCTCAAGCCTCTGCCAGCACCCAGGGGCAACAGTGGTGATGCTCTCACACGGCTTGCATGGGTGAGTAGGTGTGTGGGAGATATGAGTGGTGACACATAAGTGGATTTCTCTCACGTTCCCCCTCTGTGGCCTCATCAGTGTTGGTTTTGGTCAGTTTGTCCATGGCCAGGATTCAGTAAGGGCTTGGTCTGGGTTTTGGAAAAGATTCTCCACGTTCCTTCTCTGTTGCCTGTTCCCCTGTTGGCTGGGGGAGGGAGACTCCCCAAGGTTTTGCAGTCCAAGGATCGCAGGTCACTCATGGTCCCTGTCATGGCCATGGCTCAGTGTGCTCTTATCCTCAGGGTGAGAGCAGCTCCTGTCCTTGCTCAGCAGGACAGGAACCCGAGGCTCTGTAAGGCAGCCGGGGTGTTTGGATGGTAACGCTCCTTTGCGAGCACCCTCAAAGGATGTTTGTCAAACCAGTTGCCTCCTGGATCTTTTGACACGATGCCTTTGTGTGGTTTGAAGGAACATCTTATCACCTTCATCTCCCTGCTCTTCGCAGAGCACTTACTCGGTGGTAAACACATGCAGGCTGAAGCTCGAATCTTGAAAATCGCAGGTTCCTCCCCTCGTTGCCCCGATTTCTACAAAGGCTTCCTCCAGCTGCTCCCTCCCTCGGCTCAGAGTTTCTATCTTTGGCTCCCCTATGGGGTGTAGAGGAGGCAGTAAAATCTTGCAAGTAAAGGGTAGTTGAAAACCAAGATTTCTTCTGTAATCTAAGAAAAACAGCCACTTTCACTGGAGGAGCAGGTACCACGCGTGCCCTTTCTCCACTATGTGGCATAGCTGCATATCCAGCTCCTCCACGGCAGTGAGGATGCATCTCCTAAAGCTCCCTTCCTGCCTGTTGCCCACTACCCCTTTGGAGGATGAAATGGAGGAGGCAGAAAGCTCAAAGGAGATGACCTTGCTGTGGAGCTTGTATGAGGATCTCGCCCTGAAAAAAGCTCTGCTTAGAATCCCTTTGCTTTGATTCCAAATTAAGTGGTTTTCCTCCTGTTGTAGCATCAGCCCAAGCTCCTCTTTTCTTTAGCCTCTTGCCCTTGTCTCCCCGGTGCCCTAAGCCCTTTGGCAGCATCAAGCCAAGTGCTGAGTCACGTCCTGGCACCAACCTGGGAGTTGGTGTCTCTGTGAGACAGTTTGTGTCCCTCCACCAGTTGTCAGGGCCAGCAAACCTGGGCAGTGTGTTCACAAGCTGATCCTGATGGTGAAGGGCTTGTTTGTCCTCTGCTGTTTCCTGCATGGGATGCTCAGCCTCAGAACAACTGGGGCAGGAAAGAGTGTTATCCTGCCATGAAGGTACCTGGGGCCTTTCTTTGGTGCTGGTGGAGCAGTGCCTTGCTTCCTTACTGCAAGGTTCCCTCTGGGAAGGTACAGAACTTTCAGCCAGGTCCTTTCCTGCTCAAGGCATCTCAAGGAGATGCTGCTGGGATTTGCCATGGTGAAAGGGGAAATGTCAGCTTGCTCCATGGCTGCCTGGGTTTGCTGCCTTGGAGGGTGGATTAAAGCAGGGCAGTTTTCTGGCTGGGGTGGTGCCCCCCTGGGGTGTCGTGATGGAGCCATCCAAGGTGGGTGGGCAGGGGTTTGCCCTGCTGGTTGGATTGGAGGTGGCTGGTGTCCCAGAAGGGATTGGTCTAATCACCTTCACTACTTTATTTGGAAACACCAACTTTGGACTTGATCTTGGAGCTCTTTTCCTCTGTTCCCATCTGATGGTGGTTGTTCTGAGCTCCACTGCCTCCACATCCTTTGGATGCTGAAGATAGGACTCGTGTGGACCTTAATGCAAGAAAAGTGTTTCTCCTTGCTGAAAAGGCTGTCACGGGCCATGTCCCAACTGTGTGGGGGCTGCTGATGTCCCTCTGCACAGCCAAGTTGAGGAGATGACCTTCTGGGCAAGAAGAAGTTGATGTGTTCCCTGCTCTGATACTGAGCTGGAGAAAAGCCATGGAAGGGAAAGGTCCCAGGACAGTGAAGGCAAGTGGGGGAACCAGTGTGTCCCAGCTAAGTGGAAAGTCCCTGTGATGGAGCTGTGACACCCTGAGGGATTCCCATGACCTCAGCAGGAAAATACATTCTATATTGTTGGTAGTTTTTCATAGTTTTTGAAAACTTCGGCATTTCTTCAAACCTTGTGCCTCAAAGCAGGACAAGTGAAAATCTAAAAGCAATGATCAGCAAGTTCCTGCTTCCCACCAAGGGGTGAATGTTTACCTGTTTGGTGCTAGTTAACAGGAACACTGTGATTTACCTGTTCAGCTTTGTAACTGGGACAAACAGAGATGAGGGAAGCCTCTTAACTAAACAATCTGGGATGGAATTTCCCAAAAATCTTGCATCCATGCAAGGACAATTTTACAAATACTCTTAAGATACTTTCCAAACTGAGCTTTTGTGTGCTGTGCCTTTTCTCACTCACTTTAATCAGTGGGTTTTTTAGAAATTTTTCAGGTGCTCTTTGGGCACTCAGGCTCTCAGAGGAGTGGGTGGGTTCATCTTTGCCCCGTGCCCACAACGTGGTGAATTGTTGGCCATGTGATGAAAACAGGGCAGAACCTCGAGAGACAAATTGGTTTCTCTCAGGACGTGGGGCTTTTAAAACCAGGGGGCTTAAATGTTGTCCCTTCTGTGGCTGAGGAGGCTGTAACATCACTGGCATGATGTGATATGAAGGAGAGCAAGCCTTGCTCTCTGCCTGCCTCGCCCTGAGCTGTTTGTGGTGTGGCTGCTTCCCTGTGCCCGGATCAGTGTGTTTATGGTTCCTGGGTTCCCAGTTCCCCTCTCAGTCACTGTCATCTCCTCCATCAGGGCAGGCTGCAGATGCACCTTGCTGATGGTGGATGGCTGTTCTGTGTAGGAGACAGAGAGGGGACTCTTGGGATGTGCAGTGGTGTGTTCAGCTTGGTTGGTCAGCTGTGTTTGAACCAGAGCAGTGTGAGGCAATGGGGACTCTGTCTAGGTGAGATCTGACCTGGTTCTTGTGAGGAGTCCAGTCCTTTCTGACCATGCCAATCCTGCAAGTGGCAGAAGGATGGCATGGGGCATAAGGAATGTGCATGGAGAGCTGGAGATTTGCCTTCTGCTCCCAGCTGTGCCACAAGTCACTGTGGGACAGCAGAAAGATTGCTTAACTCATCCAAACATTGGCTTCTCTGCTTCTTCAGTGGTGCCTGTATGGTTTGCACAGTGTTTGGAGGCTGCTTTTAAGGTGCAGTTGCTGGAGAATAGAAACCAACCTCATACTGGAGAACATTCAAGGCTTGAAATCCCAAGCTTGATTTTGTAGGGCTGGGGTCTGATGCATGAACGAGGTGTGGTGGGATAAAGCCCTTTTGCTTATTTTGCTCAGCTCTTGCCAACACTGTGCAGAGCAGGAGGGGCACTCGACCTAGGCACACTTTTCCATATGCACTATCACGGAATCACAGAATCATTGAGCATGGAAAAGACCTCCAAGATTATTGAATCCAACCTTTGACCAACCACCACCTGGTCCACTAGACCAGAGCGTTGAGTGCCACATCCAGTTGTTTCTGGAACACTCCAGGGATGGGGACTCCACCACCTCCCCTTCCAGCTGGGAGAAGAGGATGAACAGACAGATTTTTTTTTTCCCTGCAGTGTTGCTCAACACCCTCATAAAAAGCGAAGCATTGATCCAAAACCTTGACCTCAACACTCGTTTTTCTTAGTGTTCTTGAGATGCTTAACAGGGCTCCTTGGAAAGTCAGATTATGTCCTCAAGAACTGTCCCTTGTCTTGTCATCTCATTCAGTGTGGGTGGGAAGGAAGGGAGAGTTGAGGGAATACGCAGCAGAAAAGATTGCAAAGTTCCTGCTCGGTTGTGGTGGACAAATGGAGTCCTCTCCCACGAAAAATGCTTCCATAAGCACTGCCCTGGGAGAGGAGGTTTAGATTCGTGTGTGGTCTTTAGCACACCAGGAAAAAACCCCCAAAGACTGTGTTTTGTGCTTTGAAAGTTGTGGTAATACCTTGGTTATATTTTGTCCTTGAACTCCCTGGCACACGAGAGGCAGCGGGAAGGGATGGCTGGGCTGGCGTGGGGTGAGGAGCGGGTTCCCCTCCGGGGCCCAAGCTGTGCCCTAAAACAAGCTGATGTGCAGGGAGGTGTGTTTTTTGTGAGCTGGGTGTTGTAAGGGGTGCCTGTGAGTCACACAGTGCTCGTAGTCACCGTTTTCCTCTTGCCACAGGCTGTGACTCAGGTGCTGGTGTGCGATTCCCCGCTCATTCAGCCGTGGCACCGCGTTCCTCAGCGTTCCTCACAAGGGCACTGTGGATGGACAAAGCTTATGGTGAAGACCATAAGAACAGGCTGTGGCAGTGGGACACGAGGCAGGAGCCCATGAGCCTCTTTGGGGTGAAAAAGAGAACTTGTATTTGGCAGGTCAGTGGTTGTTCTTGCGTGTTTGCTTTCACCTGTTTGGAGCTGTTGGTGGATTCTCTCCAGGGCAGGAAGGACCAAGGGGCAAAGCTGGAGCCAACCTCCCCCAGTGCCTGGGCTCTTGGGGAGCCCCAACAGCCAGGCACAGTGCTCCTGAGCCCTTTTGGGGGATTTGCTGGGAATTAAGTGTGGGTGGAGGTGGCTGTGCTGAGTGCACCAAGCAGGGAGGACCATGGAGCATTTGCTGAGATCACAGTGACTTTGGTTCCTTCCAGGGCAGAGATGGGGGGCTGTCATGTGTGCAGCCACCACTGAATACTGAGCACCAAACATTGACCAAATAAGCAGAGAACTGAGAATTTGGGGTAGCTGTGGGAACTATATAGGTGTGTGGCATTGGTACAGGAGTGTTCTGTCCAGGGTGAAAGCAGGTGGGCTTTGTAGTATTGGAAGCTTTTGTTTCTTCTTCCTGGATTATGTTTGTGCATTTTTGTTGCCTCTAACCAAAAAGCAAAGAGTCTATGGGATGAACCCATGTCTGTGCTTTGGGAGAGGAGGGACACCTGCCCCAGGGTCCCTCTGGACTCCAGGCTGGCACTGCAGGGGAGGAGGGAATCTCAACCTGGTCACCTCTTTGATTGCTCACGGCCAGGCAGATCTGAGCAGTAAATCCTCTGGGCAAATGGCTTGTGTGTTCAAGACCTCTCAGACAGATGCATATGAACGGGGTGGGACAAAATCTTCCTCCCCCAGCCCAGGGTTTCAGGTTGCAGCCTGGGCTGTGGGGGAGCAGCGGGATGTGACGGGGCTGCAGCCCCGCGATCTGCAATCGCTGTTTCACAATGTCCTCGGATGTTGGGGCTGAGGTCCCCTCTGGGTTTTCCTGCATTGCCACAAAGGCACGTGGACCTTTTCTTCACGTTGGCCATGTGGCAGCAAGGTGACGGTGCTGGTGGTTTTCCTGGCCACTTGGAGTGGGTTTGTGACCATTGTCAGTGGGCACTAGAGGTGTCAAGGACAATCCATGCCTAATGCAAGGAGTAGAAGTGTGGACTCTGCTGCCACCTTTCCCAGGTTGGACCAGATGATCTTTTGAGATCACTCCCAGCCTGGGCTGTTCCGGGATTCCCATCTGTGCTGTAATCTCTTGCAGTCTTGTCTTCGAAGGAGGTTAACCCACGATTACCTCCTCACCACAGACACGTAAGCGAGACTCGTTCTGCCCTGCAGATGGAAGTTGTGAGAAGGCAGAGATGTCTGCAGTAGGTTTGGGGTGCCTTGGCCCCACTGCCTCTCCTGATTGAGTCGTGGACACGTGTGCCTGCTTTTCTTTGCCAAGGTTGGGAGGGACTGGGGAGCAGAGGGAAGATAAAGCCAGCAGAGTGGGGTGTGTTGTTGGCTTTGGGGTTGGCAGGGGTGACACGAGGCAATAATGGGGTGGTGATTCACCAGGAGCACCTTGTCTGCACTGCAGCAGAAGCGTGGCAGTGCTCCCTTCCTCACACTTCAGTAAGGACATTGTATACAATACTAACCTTCCTGGTTCTTCCCCTTTAGGAGATGAATTAAAATGCAGCACACCACGTGCACAGAGGACAGGATCTACCACGCACTGGAAAGATGTCTACACGGGCTTAGCAGAGATGCTGTGTCCAGCAGATGGGCTGGTAGGTGACCTGTTAACCATGAGCTTGTTCTTCTGTGTGATCTGCTGACCCACCTGGGCACCTGGGTAAGAGAGAGCTGCTGGTGCTACTGGAGGTTTGGAGGCGTTTTTCCCTTCCAGTGTTCCAAGTTATATGCGGGATCCAACCTAGTCAGTCTTCCTGGGCCTTTTGCTGTAGTAGGATGATGATCCAAGACACTGAACAAGTCATGTTAGGTCTTACCTGTGTAAAGGCTCAGCAGAGAAGTCGTGCGTGTTGCCAGCTGTCCATGGGTGAGTGGAGGGAGGAGTCGTCTTTGCTCACCAGGGGGAAGGATTCCTTTGTGCAGTCAGCCAGCCTTGCTTTGATGCTCATGGACCCCAAACCCATGGGTGTGGTCTCTGCTGCATTGTCAGAAGCAAGCACAGAGATATTGTTACTGACTTGATTTAAACCTGGGTCAGATACCATGGTGGCCATAAAGAGGTGAGCCATGTTCAGAGGGCTGCAAAGGGATTTGGGATGATGATGGTGAGGGCAGAGCAGCAACGAGCAGAAGTAATTTTTGAATTTTTGACCTTTCTTCCTCATGCTCGTGTTTGTGAGATGCAATTAAATCCCTCCTGAATCCTCTTACGGATGAAAGAATTGAAATGAATTCGAGGAGCTGTCAAATTCAGATTCCTTTTTGTCTTTGCAGTTCTTTACATCCTTTCTGCTTTTCTTTTTAGCTGTAAGTCAACAAAGAGATGCAAATAGTGTCCCACCTGCTGCCAAATACCAGGGTAATCCCTTTTGCCATGCCCATTTCCTCACACCCACTGTAGCAGTGCCAGGTGATGCTGTAGCATCACCTGGGGTCTTGGTTCGTGCAGTTATGACCAAGACTCCTGTGTGCTTTTCATCTCCCCATGCTCTGGGAACCAGGCCCTGAAGTGTGACCTACATTCCTGGTTCCTGGAAGCGCGACCTCGCGCTTGGCACCGTGACAGCGCGTGTCCAAAGGAGTCCCATCTCACCCAGCGAGTCATTGTGCTCCGCAGAACTCACCTCTTCCTGTAATTACAATCAATCAATTCCTGTGTCACTCACAAGCTCCTAATCCCAGCCCCTTGGAGCTGCTGTTTGAGTTAGGGAAGCCTTTAAAGAACGACTTTGTAATTTTTCCGGCTCATTAGCGAAGACCAGACTGTACAGGGCAGGGACTGGGGGTGGTGGGCTCTGCTGGAGGCAGCTGTGCTGCCCAGGGATTCCTCATTCCTAATGATTTCCCCTCATCTCTCCGCCTGCTGGTTCTCAGTGCTCTTCATGTGGGTTTTGCGGGGTTTGGCAGAATGACCTGGCATTCCTGGGGGAATCTCAGGCGTGTTACACATCAGAAAGTCCCCTTTCATCCAAGGCATTTGTGCTCTTGCCAGCACTCTCCAGCGTGACCAGCGCTCCCCGTTTCCGCACCGGCGCTGGGTGGGTGTTAATGGCTCTGCTGTGCCCTGGCCCAGGTTCTGCTGCTGGGGAGCCCCCAGGGCAACCCTTCCAGTGCCTTCCCATGGGGACTGTCCTTCGTTTTAACGTGCTGCTCTTTCACATCCTACCCCCTTGCAGTCGGAGTAGGAAGTATTTGCAGTAACATGTACGATTTAGGGAAAACAGAGCACAGTGCACCCACACCCCATAGCAGGGCATCCTATTGCTTTTCAAAAACAGAGCAGAAATGGTTTCACATCCTTCTGCAAGCAACAGTTTCATTATCCCTGTTCTATGTCAGATCCAGACTGTTATTTGTGGCAGGGTTGTTCCTCATGTAGTCAGTGAATACTTCTGTCTTGTTCTTAGCTGGGCCGTAACCTTCTCCTCTTTCATTTTTAACTTCTTGCATCACTTCTATTTCCCAATTTATTTGCTTTCCCCTCCTTTTTACCATTTCCGTGCACCAAAATAGCACACACCACATTGCAGCTCTTTGGGCTGAGGCCTTGCTAGGGTTTTGTTCATTTTTAAATTATTTAATGGTTTATCTGAAAATTCTACAGGAGGTTGCTCCAGAGTGGGTGAGTAATCGTTTCCGAGGCGTTGTTTCCCCCCCACGTAAGTGACTGAGCAGCTGAGGTGTGTGAAGTCAGCAAAGAGAAGAAGTTATGAGTCTTTGGCCATCCCAGATTTATACTCTGGATACGCCCATGGCCAGCTCTGGGGTCTAAATAGAAGATCTTTCTGTAGAGTTTATTGGAGGGACCAAATTAAAAGGAGTTGTCTGTGACTCATAAAAATCCCTGTTAGAAAAGTGCTTGGAAGGACAACTCCCTTTTCCTCATGGAGACCCCATTCAGGGTTTGCCTGGTTCGTGTTGCAGGAGAAAGACTGTTGTCAAATTAGAGTGTGATAAAGGAAGAAACATATTTTACTTCTTGCTGGTGAGCAGAGAAACAGGGAGCTTTTGGTGAAGGAAAGCCCTGGTCTTGGGTCTGCCTGCTGGCACTGCTGGGAATGGCCATGCTGGAAATCAGAGGTGGGGGAGAGGCCAGAGGATTGTGGTGGATGGGAGTTGCTGAGAAGTCTGGAGGGCAGCTCAGTGCCTGGAAGGAGCACTGGGATCTGCTGGGAAGGAGCTGTTGTGTATCTACCACAGGGCTCCACATGGGTCAGAGGGGATGACGGATGCTGGTGAGGGAGAGTGGGTGGAGGTCACTGGTGAGCTGGACAGTGTCTCACATGGTGCCCAGAAATTCAGTGTGCTCAGCTCTAAAAAAAGAAAAACTTAAGATCCTGTTCCATTGCATCTAAACACCCTCATGGGGAAGGACCAGTCTGGTGTGGGGCTCCTCCAGCTTCGTTACTGAGTAGTGAAATGCAGTGTCTGAAATACTTCCAACTCAGGGTGCAGAATTGTGGTTACTGGTTACTAAACCTGGCAAACCTTAACCTTTGAGCTGATTTCTCCAGGCTTGTCATGGGTTTTCTTGCCAAAATCACTGCCCAGAGTGGAAGTGCTTGGAGTGGCTCCAGCCCTGGGAGGTGCCCCTGTACCCTGCTGCTGGATATCCATATTCCATATCTAAGCAGCTGCTTGGACATGGAAGCTGTGGGTTGGATTGATGTGCAGTGCAGGATGTATCCCAAGGGGATGCTGTGGCTGCAAGGCTTGGACTGTCCCCTGTCCTTTGAGCATCTCCAGCCCCTCCTTACAAACTGCTGCGAGTTGGCCCTTCCTCTGGGCAGTCCCGTGGAGGAGCCACCTTCTTCTGGGGAGGATATAGGGGAAATGGTGGGAGAGGGTCTGGGGGAGGGAGGAAATGGGGCTGTTTGCTTTTCACCCCTCCAGCTGTGTCGCTTTGGACAGCACCAGCACCTGATGCGCAGCCCAGGCGCTGTGGGCAGCTTGGGCACGATGTGGTATTTCTGCTTTATTTCTCTCCTTTTCTGACTTGAGGGTTGCCCACTACAAAGAGCAGCGGAGGGGAAATATCACCCCCTCCACGAGGCCAGGAAGGAGCTACTCTGGGAGGGGGAGGAGGAGGAGGAGGAAGAGGGCATCTGGGTGCACTTCTCAGAAAAGAAATGGTAAAGCCTCATCCTTCCGAGGCCGCCCACGGGGCCGCTGCTGCCCGGGCTCTTGGCACCGATAGCGATCAAAGCGTGAGCGGGTGCTGTGCCCGGGCTCCCTCCCGGCACCAGGGGCTCGGTGCAGCCCCTGCCCAGCACCCCATCCCTGCTTGGCAGCTTTGCTGTGGTCTTTGCTCTCCCAAAGGGAGGTTTTTCTTTGGGTCTGTGTCACGCTGGGCTCAGTGGAATCGCGCTCTGTTGGATGCTGGGATAAGCACGGCTTAGTCCTGCTTTTGCTGCGGCTCCAATGTGCTGCAGCCCCAGGTTCTCCCAGCTGGGGACATGATGTGTTCTGGGCTGCCTGTGTTGCTGGCAGATAAATCTGACTCATTTTCCATCTTTTAAGAAAAAATAAATAGTGCTGGGTCACTGGTTTAGTGAAGCAAAACCGGATGGATGAGCATGAGGACAGGGTGGATGTCAGCAGTTTTTTAGCTGTGGGGCTTCCCGTTGCCCTGCTGGGAGGTGTCCTGTGCCTCTTGAGACAAATTCATTGTATTTATGGGCTGGAAGGTGGAGTTCAGGTTTGTGCTGCCTGTACAAAGGGCGTCTATAATGCTGATCTGAACACCTCTGGAGCCAGTCTCAAAGGGCTGCTCTCCTTTGAGGCGTTGAGGGATTTGTGAGTGTGATTTTACTTCCCACTTCCCTCAGCCAAGAGGCTCCTTTCTGAGCTCTCCAAACCCTGCCTTGCCATGGGCTTGGAAGTGTTTCCCTCCAACACAGAACTTTCCAGACCTGGCACAGCTCGACAGACTGGGGGTGATGGGGAGCTCAGCCCCTGCTTGCAGTGATGGCAGGGAGCATCCCTGCACTCGCCTTGGGGACTCTCCAGGGCATCCCCGACCTTGCACCCTCCACACAGACTCGGGGCCTCCCTTGCATCTCCTAGTGAAAAATGTTTTTTGGTAATTAAAGAGCAAGTGCAAAATTCAGGGGAAAGCCTGGTTCAAGTTTCCCACATGCCCTCGGTGCACATCTACCCTTGTCCACCCTGGGACAGGGAGGGTGCCCAGCATGGTCTGGTGCTGCTGGGTTTGAGCACACCTGGCACAGTGGGATGGACACAGCTTGTCTTTGTTCTGGTGCTGCTCTGGCCTGGTGTAAAACATCTCTGCTGAGTTGTCCCTGTGGTGGTTGTGCCTGGCCCTTTGTGGTGACACAGTTCAGTGTTGCAGCAGAGCAGCAGTGTAACATCTGCTGGGGCATGTTGAGGTGAGGGGTGGCTGCAAATAAACCTGTCTGGAAACCTTCTCACCTGGCTGCAGCCTCTCCCTGGCCTGGGAATAAGCCAAGTGCTGCTCTGCAGTTCATGAAGTCCCCGGGTGCCACCACAGCCCCAGCTGTGTCCCACAGGGACACAGGACATCTGCAGAGGGACAGAGAGAACTTCTTACTGCTGTTAAAGTTACCTTGGGCTTTTGTGCCTAACCTGTGCACATTAAGAGCATCACCTTCCCTGCCCAATAACCTTTTTGGTCTGGGTGCAGGGGATGCGGTTGCAGGGACTAACTCAGTTCCCAGTGGTGGGAAAGTGGGTGGTTGTGACCTGCACTGTGAGAGGAGGGAAGAGAATTCCCACCCAGGTCTGGATCCCCTCCTGACTGATGCCTGGTGGTGCTGGACACTTTGCTTTGCTGTGTGGTCTTTGTTTATTGTGTGCAGGATTTCCGAGCTGCGTTTTGTGCTTGAGACTATTTTTGCAAGGGTACAGCTGTTTTGGTGTGTCTCTGGTTAATGCAGCTGTGCCAGATTTAGGAGCTCGGATCCTGGCAGCCTGCTGCTTCCCAGCACTGAGTAGCTTAATCCCAGAGCCTTGCTATGTCCATGAATTGAACAGAAATTTGATTATAGCAATATCATTCAAATATACCTGGTTGTATCCTGGAGCTTCATCTCATAGCTCCTGTAGAACACCCAAAAATGGGTGAGAAGACCTCAGGTCTGAATCACAGAATATGCTGAGTTGGAAGGGACCCACAAGGATTGAGTCCAACTCCTGGCCCTGCACAGGACATCCCAACAATCCCCACATGTCCAAACACTCCTTGAGCTCTGGCAGCCTTTGTGCCATGACCACTGCCCTGGGGAGCCTGTTCAGTGCCCAACCACCCTGTGGGGGAAGGACCTTTTCCTAATACCCAGCCTAACACTGCCCAGACACAGCTCCAGCTGTTCCCTCTTATGTTTGTTCCTTTATGCTGTGTTTGTAAGATGCCTCCATTGAGCTTTACCCTTGCCCCTGCTCCCTGCCCATCCTCCCAGCCTCTCCACAGTGGGTTTGCCCCAGTTTCCCCCAGGGGAAGTAGCCCAGTGCTTCTCCCCCTGCCCCATTCAGCACAAATGACGCTGTGAGCCGCTGCCACCGCAGTTTCCTCCTCCCTCGCTACAAGGGAGAGGAAGGAAAGAGCCCATGTCGTGCTGGGCTGTTGGTGTTTGTGGTTATGGTCGTGCAGGATGCGGTGTTCTCCTCGCTGGGAGATGTTCCCCAGTGAGATCAGCCCCACCACTGTCATGGATCCTGCTCCCCATGGCCAGGCTTTGCCCTTGGCAGTGTAGCAGGGCCAGAGTCTCACAGGTGAAAGAATCATGGAATGGTTTGGGTTGGGAGGGAGCTTAAAGCTCATCTCATTCCATGCCCTGCCATGGGCGGGGACACCTTCTCTAGTCCAGGTTGCTCCAAACCCTGTCCAACCTGGTTTTGGAAACTCCAGGGCTGGGACGGCCACAGCTTCTCTGGGCAACCTGTGCCAGTCCCTCACCACCCTCACAGGGAAGAATTTCTTCCCAATATCCCATCTAACCCTGCCCTCTGCCAGTGGGAAGCCATTCCCCTTGTCCTGTTGTTTCAGGCCCTTGTCCCAAGTCCCTCTCCAGCTCTCTTGGAGCCCCTCTAGGCACTGGAAGGGGCTCTAAGATAAGTAATCCTCCCAGCTGGAGCAGGATGGGTTTTTTCAAGGCACCACATGAGCCCAGAGACTTCTTGCCGAGGTCAGCAAAGCTCCCGGCAGCTCTGACCACTTCTGCTGGGCCAGTTGCTTACTTGACTATCTCCCAGGTGCAGGAGCTTTCCCTGGAGGATGCCACGCTCTGGGACAATATTGATTTATTTGGGCAACCTGCTGGAGTCACCCCAGCGGATCTGTGGCTTTGTGGCATCCGCTGGTTTATGGAAGTGGCTCAAAGGAAAACTGGAGCATTGCTGAGTTCCTGGGTCACTGGGGCTGTTCCCTCACTGACAAGATACCACAGTATCTTGGTGGGTGTCAGCAAACCCAGTAAGATACTGCGAGTACAGGAGGCAAATTAGAAAGTGCATCTGAGCTGCTTGGAAACTTTCCAGAGGGATCTTTTCTCCACTGGAAAATGTTGATTCATTGAAAGTAAAAAGTTGTGTGGCAGCCCAGGGGATTTCCCCAGGGGAAGTCTCCTGCCCTGTTAATTCAGCTACAAGCCTGGCATAAAGCCACAGAAATAGTGCATGGCCTGGTGAGCAAACACTTGTCTACAAGTCTGGTTTTGCAACCTCAGCACTAGTTTTGCTTGTCTTGACATTGGTCTTCTCCCACTGGGCCATGTCGCCCTCTCCCCTGGTTTAAATTCCTCTTGCTTAGCACCTAGAAGGTGTGTAAAGGTATTTTTATGACATGTCTGTGTTTGATGAATCTGTAGCCTCTGCAGTTGGGAATAATGTTTGAGGGCCGGACAATGTGATCCCTAGGTTTGTGCTGAACTGCTGTCTCGTGCCAGCTCGTGATGTTCTCTTCCCTGCTCCAGCTTGGGTTGGTGATTTTGTCCTGGGCCACTTAATAGACCGTGTGAGTGAAATCCATCTGATTTATATTATTTTTCCTCTCTGATCTTTAGCACCTCTTCTCTGCAGTGAGAGATGCTCTCTTGATCTTGGTTTCTCTTTTGAGCTGAGACTGGGAGAGCCCCAGTTCCAGCACCCCCTGAACTGTGCCGTGGGCTGCAGGTGAGCTGTGTAGTGTCCACCCTGCATCCCATTCGGCTGAAAAAATCCATAGCAATGCAGGATGGGGGACATGCCAATGTGGGCCTTTCCCAGGTATTTGTTAGGCTGTTTGCTTGAAGTTTCCCCATAACATTTCTCCCTGGGGCTGTGTGGGGTACCCAGGTCCCTGGGAAGGAGGAGGGAGAAGGGGAGGAGGGGGTGCTGCTCACTCCTTGCTCTGCAGATCCTGGACTGCCGGCAGCCAGCAGGCACCTCCTCCTCCCCTGGGATGTGGGGCTGGGATGAATGGAGGCGGCCTGACAGCCTTCACACAGATCATTTCCTCTAAGGCCCTCTGGGAGGTGGCCCTGACCGCTGAGAAGAACGTCGGGAAACACCTTGGGCCATTGTCACCAGTCGGATCCCAGCAGAAGTCTGGGGGAAGGAGGTCGGGGGGTTTCAATCGACTGGGGTGAAGGACCCACCATCCCTTTGCATGGCAATTCTCTTCTTTCACTCTGACTAATCTTCTGGTGGGGTTTTAAGAGATTTAATGAAAATTTGAAGGTGCCAAGAGATGGACTAAATGCCGGGCAGGCTTGACAGCAGCGCAGATTTGTATCTGCTGACTGCTGTGGTGCTGCTGTGTTGGTGCATCTCCAGGGCCCGGGGAAGCTGCACGGGTGTGATGCAGCTGGAGGGGATTGAATGTCTGCTGACAGGAAGCTGAATTTGGCAAGATTTGAGTGAGTTTATAGTTGGGATTGTGCATCTGGGGCGTTTGAGCCAGGGGGCTGCAGGGCAAGGGGTCGCACTGGTGGGTTGTCTGTGCCTGGGCAGAAGGAACGTGGGTTCCACCCATGCCAGGCACATCCCTCTGGCCTCTGCACATGCACGTGGCAGCTCTGGAGTGTCAGATACCCAGCTGGCACCTGGGGAGAGGCATCCAGCCAGGCTGGATGTGTTGGGCTGTGAGAACACAAAGGTGCTCAGGTACGAAGCGGTGCTGCCGAGACAAGCACCATTGTTTGAGGTCAGATCTGTCTGTGAGGTTTTTTCTTCTGCTGTAATCTGATGCCTGTGGTCAACACCTTCCTCCCTGACCCCTTCCCATTGTTTGTCCCTCTTGTGACCTCCTTGAATGGGGGCTGTGACAGTGGCTCTGTGTCCCCCACAGCAGGGCTATGCCTGAACTGCTGGAGCCTGCAGGAGCTGGTGAGCCGAGACGCTGGCAACTACCTCATTCTCGTGGAGAAGATCCTTGGCAAGACCAAAGAGGTGAGTTGGGGGGCCTGTCAGGGAGGACTGCGGGCTTTGAGACATGGTTGGCTCTGTGGCTTGCCCAAAATGGAGTTTTGCTGAGCTTGCTGGGTGATTTTGGGTTGCGGTAAAGTATTGCTGGAGCCCCAGGACTTGGGGTCAGGTGGTGCTATGTCAGCAGGTACAGAACTCTGGTGGGAGTAATGCTGTGTCTCCCACATGAGAACCACAAGGGAAAAGCCCAGCTACGATATCTGTTCTTTGGGCAGCACTGCAGATCCACAGGGGTGGGTTTTGACTCCCCAAAGTGCTGCTCGAGGCACTGTGGGGCTGCATGGATAGAGCCAGCCTTCCCCAGGCCTTCCCCAGCCATCAACTGGGAGCTGCTGGTCCAGAGCAGAGCAAATTGAAAGGTTCCTGTTGTTTTTGATGGAAACTTCTCTGTGTCCCTGCCGGGCTTCCTGTGGAGCTGCGACACTGAGGACCATGGATGGGGTTTGCAGCCCAGCAGGTGACAGTGGGGTGAGGCACATCAGGGAGGTGAAATGGCAGTGGGGCCAATCTGTTGACCTGCTGTGGTCCCATCATGTGCCAGAGAACCTCAAGGCATCGTTGGTTGAGCAGGGTCATCCCAGGCTGCGGCAGGGAAGGCCTTGGAGGAATCCCTTGATGTGGCAGGAAACGGTGATGTGTTTCCTAAATCCCCAGCACTGGGATTCATGTGATGGGGTAAATGCTGCCTTTCATTTTTTAGGGAAGAAAGGCTGCAGAGCTGATAGCAGTTAAGTTTAGCACAGTTTGGTTACGTTCATTTATGTATTTTTGTAATGGTTGGTATTGATTTTGTTGCAGAGAGTGGTTTATTACATTAGGGTTTATTGTAGGGGTTTATTGCACTTTGTGCTGTGCTCATGAACAAGGAGAGACTGTCTGCAAGTGCATCCTTGAGCTATCACTGTGTCCCTCGGTGAAATAGTTCTGCTGGGTATTCCCTGGCAAAGCCTGGGATGGAAATACATGGATTTCACTGTGCTGCCAAGCTTTGCAAGCTGTTTGCAGGAGTTGGGCTGCCTCCCTGCCTCTCCTGGCTGCCTGCTTTGAGGCACTTCCATGGAATTTCATGCAAGGATCAGGAACATCAAAGGGCTGGGAGCTTGGCCAGATCTGAGCAGAGGCAGAGCAGGAGGTTGTGCTTATCTCTCTGTCCCATTGGTGTGGATTAGTGGGGCTTTAGGGATTGTTTTCCTGTCGGGATGAGGGAATTTGCTGGACACGGTGGTGTGGTGGTGCAGGTTGGGTACTTGGCTGCACTGCTGGGGAGTCCCCTGGTACCTCCAAGGATCCTTTTGGGTGTTGCTCATGGCAAACAGCCCAGCTCATCCTCCCGCCCTTGGGCTGTTTCCTACAGGTGCAGGAGAAGTGCGACTACGACCTGGTGACGCCCCTGGCTCTGCTCTTCTACTCCGCCGTCCTCTATGTAAGTGCTGAGGCTGCTGCATGGAGCTGGATCCCAGCCCCAGGGAGGCCATGGAGCCACATGGAGCAGTCCCTGAAATCAGGGTGGCTTTGTCTGAAACCCCACGGCCTGCTTTGATCAGTTCATCTCACAAAAAGATTCCGTACGAGTCTATAGGGATCAAGATCAAACAACCATTGCACAAGCTGAGTGAAAAAAAATGAGCTTCAGGATGTTTAAGCTATTTTTTAAAGGGTGGGCTAATCAGAAAGGGAGATGGACAATATCTCTATGCAGAGAAGGAAAATTTTTTCATTACCCCTTATACTTGTGCAAAATACATTGGCAGTATGAATGAAAAGAAGGAGCGGAGCCTTCACAGGAAGTACTTTTTTTATTATTATTATTACTAGCACAATGCATCATTATCCCAAGGAAATCATTGCTGCCAGATCCTGCAAAAGCACAGGCTGTAATGCAATTCATCTGTATGTGTCTGTGGTGGTTAAAAAGGAATTTATATATAGGCTTTGGCACGTGAGCCACAGCCGGGAGGTTGGGAAGGTGCAGAGCGGAAGGAGCTCTCTTGGAGCTGTGCCCAGTGGAAATCCTTCGACCCTTCCTTGGGAGAAAATGGGGTATCATAGGGTGAACCTCTGCTTTGCTTTTCCTCCTCCCACTTCCAGCCTAACCCCTCGAGTTTGTGTCCTTGCTCCCTTTCTGACCGTGTCTCCCTGTCCCCCGCAGGCTCCTCACTTCCCGCCGGGCTCCGACCTGCTCCTGAAAGCTGCCAGTGTGTACCACAGCTTCCTGACCTGGCCTGTGCCCTACTGTGACATCTTCCGTGAGCTGCTCACCTTCATCAGCAATGAGCTGAGGGCCCCTGGTGAGCACTCCTGCCCTGCATGTGCTGCTGCCACTGCTTTCCCAGAAACCCCCTCTGCCTCCACTGCCCGTGTTTGCTCCCCTGGTGTTGCTGTCTCACATTCCCCACTTGCTTCATGAATCCTGTGAGCGTGGTATCCCCAGTTACCTTGGGCATCCCAAACCTCAGTTTTCCCAGGAGGTGAGGACTCTGCCCTCCATCCTCAGGATGTGGTCCAGCACAGGGTGAGACCAGACTCCCCTGGAGGAGCAGGGCAGGGTGGTGCTTTTGGTGGCTGCCAAGGTGGTGGGAGCATCCTGGGGACTCCCAGCTCAGGGAATTAGCAAAATGGGTAACTATTTCCTGGCTGCCTTTCAGTCTGGTGGGTCTTTTCCATGGCAGAGCACGTGCTGGCTGCTCTCTCCCAGCCCTGGCCTTTGTTTGAGATGCTCAGTGGTGCAACTGGGGTGATAACAGTGAGTCTATTCATTGGCATCAAGGTGGCTGGAGCCTCCGGGCCTGCCCTTGCGTGGAGATTTCCATAGGGCTGAGGGACTCCCTGGCTCGTTCTTTACAGCCCAGACACCACCTTGTGATACAGCTCTGGCCACATCCAGCAGCAGCAGCAGTGCTCCCCTTAATTAAGGACTCCTCCTAGATGTCCTGTTGTTCCCAATGGAGCAGCTCTTCCAATTATTTCTAAAAGGCCCTTTTTCCTAATCTCCCAGTCTTTTGGTGGCTTTTGAAGAGCTGTTATCACACAGAGCAGATTCCAGCCCATGTTTAATCCTGTGCAGGGCCATGGCAGCAAGACTGACTCTGAGGAGGGTTTGAGAGGCCTTGGAGGGAGATGTGGGCTGTGGCTGAGGCTGGGGGTGCTCCCCACCTCCTCAGACTGGGAAGCTGCTTCAGAGAGCCCTGATGAGGATGTGAAATGCAGGGTCTCTGTCATGGCAGCAGCATCCTGTGAGATGGGAGCTTGTGGATCTAGGTGGGATGAAATGTGCTTTCAAAGGAACAAAAGGATGAAAAAAAACCCCAAACCCTGTGCATTGTGAGTGCTGGAATGGCTGCTTTACCCCCAGCATAAATGGCCATGGCCACCAGGCAGGGTCTGGCTGAGTCAGGGCTGTTTTACACACTGCTGGAAGGCTCCAGTGCTGGGGAGGGGGGGCTGCTACCCCCTGCTCTTGTGCCATCACCACCATCACCAGTGCCCAGTGCTGTGTGAGCTTTGGTCCAAAAACTTTCCCTCCTGTGAGCATAATGGATTCCCCCACCCCTGCCCCAGATGCCATGTGGGAGGGACTGGCTGCAGTGGCTGGGGAGCCCAGTGCTGCCCCTCACCGTGGCCTCTCCCCTCAGCTGGAGCCAGAGCCAGCAAGAGCGTGTCCAGTCCTGGTAAGCTGGCCAGGGCCTTACAGGCTCTTCCAGGCTTGTTGCATGGCCTCTGTGACCTGCTGGGAGGCTGAAGCAAAAGCTTTTTATTGAGATGAGGGTAAATATTAACTGAGAACAAGATGTTGTCAATATTTGCCAAGAATGCAATAGCTTTGATCTGCTCGCTGGGGCTGGTGCCTCTGCAAGAAGGGTAAATCCTGCTGTGTTATCAACCTGAGCCCCCCTTGAGTGCTGCTCCCAGGCTGCTGAGCTGGGTTGGGATGTGGCTGCCTGCACTGATAAGGGGGCAGGATCTTGTTGATGCTGTAAGGTCTTTCCCAAGATGTGCCCCAGTCCTGCTGTTTGGGGGAGACACTGGCTTTGCTGTTCCCACCCAGTGCAGATCCATCTGATGTCCTGGTTTGGGTTCCCAATGGCATCCTGGGGACAATCCCAGGGAGGCATCCAGGGCTGTGGCTGCCCACACCAGCCTCTCTCCTGCTGGGACCAGTCTGGGCTCCACCTGTGGGAGGGAAGGTGGCAGTGACCTCCTGTCCATAAGTGACATCAAGGGCCTGGGGGGCTAAAGCAAGTGGGAAAAGCTGCCAAATATCCATGGAATTCCCATCCCACATTAGCAGTGGAGCAGAAGGGACTGGAGGTGGAGCAGTTCTCCTATCCCATCCGTTGTTTTCCCTGGGCTTTTACCCTTTACCTCCCAAGCTTCCTTGTTCCTGGGCTGGTCTCTTTACACTGTGGCTGTGTCTTGTCTCTGTGAGGACTTCTGGTGGGGCCATTCCCATTCCAAGCAGCAACTCAGCCATGTCTACACTACACTGGGAGGCAAAGTCAATGTGCTGTTGAGGCAGAACAGTCTGCAGTGGTTCCATTCCTCATGTCCTGTGCTCTTTCCCCAGGGATCACTTTCCAGAGGCTGGTGAGGACAGAGCAGGGGCTGCCTGTGAAGAACTACCAGAGCTCCACTGTGTGAGTGTGACCATGGGCACTGCTGGTCCCCTCTGTGGCACCCCCACGCTCTGACACTGAGCAGCATCTCAAAGGGGTCGTGGTGGGTCCTGGGGAGAAAGGCTAGATAGTTGGGCTGAGCTGTGGGAAGGGATGAGGAGAGTGGCTGTAGCATTTCCACAGCCGTGGGACTAGGTCTGTGGGCTCCCCAAGCCAGTTATCCCGCAGGGCTGCTGAACTCTAGGGCTGCAGATCTGGGTGACAACAGCTGGGGAAGGCAAAGTCTCCTCCACAGGGAGCTGCTGATCTCAGCACACATTGGAGAACAGCTGGGAAATGCTGTGATCTGCGAGTTTGGGAGCCACCACCCCAACAGGGGTCAGAAGCAAGTCCATCCCAGTCCCAGTGCAGGGCTGAATGAAAACCTTGCAGCTCTGAGCACAAGTTAGACTTTGCTCCTTGTTTGAGGGCTGAACCTTTTTCCCTACCAGGGCACCTCATTTGTAAATAGGGAAATGAGCCTGAGTGGTGTCTGCTGTCCTGGCTCAGGCCCAGCCCCAGGGACAGTCCTTCAGGCACAGCCACTCTGTGCAGGAGGAGTGTCCTTCTCTTTTGGCTTGTCCACTCATGCCGTGCAGCCCTGGATCTGCACCCTTATCTCACCCAGCAGTGCTGGTGTATTGGCTGTATTTTCATAAAGAGCCCTGAAAACCTGGCACAGGTTCCTGTGTTGGAAGGGACCCACAAGGATCATCAAGTCCAGTTCCTGAACTCTGGGCTTATTGGAAGCTTGTGCCCGTTGCCTGAGCTTTCTAGATCCAAGCACACCCCAGCACATCCTTAATTCAGAGCTGGTTTTGCTCAGTGGACACTTAGTGCTATTCTCCATGAACAGAAGCACATGCTGTCTGGGCTGCAGGTTTGGAAATTCAAAGCCTGTGGATGTTCATGTTGTGGTCTGGAGCAAAAATGCAGCTGAAGAACGTGGTTCTTCTCCTTAAAGCTTCTCCTCTGACCTGCATCTTGCAGGAGAAAGATAGTTTGGGGGCCACTCTCATGTCCCACTTCATCCCGTGTCCACTTAGGGCAACTGGCTGCTGGGCTGGAGCCCTGTCTGGGGTTCACCACCAGTGTCCAAGCCTGGCCTAACTGGTGTCCCCTTGTCCCCAGGACGGTGCTGCTGCTCAACCGCTCCGAGGTGCAGAGTGAGTTCCTCTCCATCGCCGAGAAGCTGAGTGCCAGTGAGCACCCCCAGCACGCCACGCTCGTCCTGCTCCTCGAGCACCTCTACCAGGCCAACTTTGGCACCTGCTGTGACCTGGACAGCCTGCACCACCTCCTGAAGGTAGGCTGGGACAGCCCCGGCTTTGGGGATGCCACTGAGAGCAGTTTCGTGCAGTTGGCTGCCGGATTTCCTGACCAAAATAGTACATAATTGGCAAAAGAAAAGAAGTTTTGATAACACTTCTTGTAGGAAAAACACATGTCTTTCACTTCTCAGGTCAGACCTGAGGTCTGCACTTGGGTTTTGTGAAGTGTATGTGGGTCACTTGCCTTTTACCCTGTTCCTCCTTGCCTTTTACCCTGTTCCTCTCCATCCCTAAGTGTAGAGAGGAAGGGCCCCCAGATTTGAAGTGCAGCAAAAGTGTTTGTTTGACCGGAGAAACACTTGGAGGAGAGGCAAAAAATTTTGAAGAAAACCCCTTGGGTGTTTTCAAACACGCTTTTATTTCCTTCGCTAAAGTTTTGGGTGACTTGAAAGGGGGTAGAGGGCGGTGGAGGGAGAGAGTTACCCAGTTCGTGATCCTGCCCAAGGACCTGTGTGTTGCCTGTGTGGAGGGAACCCCTCAGTCTCTCACCTTGGCTCTGCTCCCCCAGTCCAAGACGCTGGAAGAGCTGTCGGAGATCTACTCCAGTGCCGCTGACGCGCAGGAGGTCGCGGCCGCCAGCAGCGACCCCGGGCTGGCCCGGGAGCGGCTCCAGGCTGTGCTCAGGGACATCGCTGGGGCCGCCTCCTTTCCTGCCATCACGGGTGAGAAACCCCCCAGGCCCCTCTTTTCTCCAGGGTGTTCTGCAGGCTCAGCCCCTGCAGCAGCAGCAGCAAACATTTTGCACAAAGTTTCAACCGAGCGAAAACACTACAACAAAAAAAAGCACCAACCCAGGTCCTGCTTCGTAACCATGCAATGAGCCAGAAAGGGTTTCATTAAAACAGCAACAAAACGAATTGTCCAGCCTTTATGGGCGAGATGAAAACATTAAATCAGAAATCGCTGGTAGCTGTGATGTCTGATGGCTCTTAGAGGTGTGGAATGTCCCCTCATCCCCTTTGCGTGTGACTGGCATCATTGGTGTTCAGCATGACCTGAGCTGCCCAAAATGTGTATGTGGGGTGGGTGGCATCTCCCACTGGCCAGGAGAGGCTGGCAGGGGTGGTGTTGGGGGTCCTTGGAAACTAAGTCTTCTCCTTCCTCTCTTCCCAGGTGAGGCTCAGCCCCACAAGCTCCACACCATCCCCATCCCTGCTGCCCGCTGCTACACGTACAGCTGGGACCAGGATAACTTCGGTAAGTGGAGGGGGTCCCCCAGTCATCCCAGTGAGACCACAGCCCTCTGTTCCCCATTCCAGGGGTGACTGAGCAGCATTTCAGCTTGGCTGGGGCTGCTGCATCCAGCTGGGTGTGTGAAAGAGCTGATAACACATTGTTGGTGCTGGAGGGAGAAATGACCCAGCGGGTGCCAGTGTCCCCTGGATGGGACAGGATGTGGGTGACAGCTCAGGTGTGATGCCTGCTGTGATCCCAAGTAGAGGGCACAGGACACTGGTGGCCTCAAATCACGTTTTTCCAGAGACAAATCATGCAGGGCTTAATCTCCTGGGCAGGGTTGTACCTTGTGTTAAGCCGGAATAGATTCATCGCACCCAAATCCATGGGAATATTGGTAGGACAAGACATTGGTAGGAAGCTCCTCTGCAAGGAGGAAACCTTGCTTGTGCCCTGGAAATAATTGTTGGTGGAAAAGCCTTACTGGGATACTGAGGCTTTGTGCAATTGAGACTGGTCAGACATGACAGCTCTTCGCCCCCTCAGCAGGGAAGGCCAAGGAGTGGGTGCCTTTGCTGTGCTCTCAGCCCAGCCACAGCAGTTTTGGAGGGGAAGCAGTGGGTTCCCCTTTTGCCAAACTGGTCTCTCCATCTTCCCCATTCCTGGAAGACCTTGTGTGTTCCTGTGAATGTTCAGTGTTCATTGCCTGCTGCCCCTAGCAAGCTGGAGTAGAGCTCTGGCTCAGGCTTTGCAGTGAGTCCAGCCTTGCCAGGAAGCCACAGTGGGTTCAATTTGGGGTTTGATCAGCCGAATACCTGGCTTTCCTCCTGCCCTCTGGTTAAACCTGGAGTGCATTGTGAAAGCTGTATAGGAAGGAAGCAGAAGCCCAAGTGGTGTTTGCCTTTTGAGAACCCAAACAGAGTGTGACCTTAGGGAGAGAAATATGTTTTGTTTTGCATTGCAACTGAGCAATTTATGGAAATCTGAAAACATTCAGGAGGAGGTTTCCAGCTCCTTGTTTGAAGCCATGCAGGATCAAAAGAGTACTGGCCATGATGTAGTGGTGGTGGTGTCTGGGGCTATCACATCTGGGGCCATCATATCTGCAGTGGTTCTGCTGGAGCCCAGGGTGGATGTGATCTGCCTCTGGTTGCCTTTCAGATATCCTCAATGATGTCCTCAGCAAGGAGTGCAGCGGTGTTGAGCCCATGGCCTCGGAGAACGAGGAGGAGGATGAAGAGGAGGAGGATGTGGAAACCGACAGCTGCTCCCCTGAGCGGGACTCGCTGCTTTCCCCCCTCTGTGCCATTTCCAGTGACTGTGTGTACTCTGTGCTCTCAGAGGAGGGATCTAAGCCCTCACGAATGTCCCTCTTCACCTCCTCCAAGGACTCCATCTCGGAGCTGACAGTGGTCTCCAGAAAGTCCCTGAAGTCGTTCGTCTCCAGCCTGAAGGACTGCATGGACAGCGGGTACGCAGAGGACAGCGACGAGAGCTCCCTGGACGTGGTGGGGAGGACGGAGCTGAAGGCGGAGAAGACCCACCACAAATACAGGCAAACACTGACGACCAAGATCTACAGATTGTTCAAGAGCAAAAGCCAGCTGGTGCTGAGGAGGGAGCTGAAGGACTGCCCGGGCACGGGCTCACTGTCGCTGCGCCGTGCCGAGAGCCTGTGCGCATCCCAGGCCCGGCTGCGCGTCCCGGCGCGCTCCCGGCGCGCGCACTCGCTGCCGCAGCACGTGCTGAACCAGCACCTGCCGGCCCCGCTGGCCCCACGGCACCTCAGCCTGCCCCGGCGGCCCTTCCTCAGCTACGACGAGGACACCAAGCTGTCCACCCTGCGTGTCGTGGTGTTCGGCTCCGACCGCATCTCGGGGAAGGTGGCCCGAGCCTACAGCAACCTCAGGTGAGCCGGGACGTGCGGGGTCTGACTGTGGGGACCCGGCCCTGCTGGGACATCCCGCGCTGCTCTGCTCACCCAACCCTCTCCACCTTCTCGCAGGCTCAAGGAGAGCGACTGCCCCTCACTGACAAGGTACTTCAAGCTGCAGTTTTTCTACGTCCCGGTGAAGAGGAGCTGCTTGGCTCCCTCGACCCCCCTGATGCATCATCCCTCCCCAGCCCTGGGGGACCCACAGCTCCGGGCACAGGTAGGTGTCCCGCTCACCACAGGGCTTGTGGTACCAGGGCTGGCAGGGCAGGCTGAGGGGAGCCTGGGGGACCCTCGGAGTGACCCCAGTGTGTGTGGTTCCAGGATCCCACCTCGGCTGGGATGGAGAGCAGCACTAACGACATCTCCCACTACATCGGCGTGTTGGACCCATGGTACGAGCGCAACGTTCTTGGGCTGATGAACCTGCCCATGGATGTCCTGTGTCAGGTACGTGTGTGCCAGCTTCTTCCTGGAGAAACTGGGGACCTGATCAGAGAAACTTCTGCTTAGCACTGGGCCACCACAATCCTCTACAAGGGCCTGTGCTACATGGACACAGGATGGAGACGGGGGTTCCTGGTGGTCAGAAGGAGGGTTTCTGTCCCCAGTGGGGTGGGATGGACAGTTCTGGATGTAAGTACCACATACCCCATCGTGTTGCTGACTTATTCTCCCACCACAGTCTGCCAAGCCGGAGGCTGAGCCCCAGGAAGACTCCCAGGAGCAGCTGCCCATCCTGGCAGACATGATCCTCTACTATTGCCGCTTTGCCACACGCCCCGTCCTGCTGCAGCTCTACCAGACAGAGGTAGGCAAAGAGGCTCAGCCCCATCTTCTGAGGGGAAAGGGAGGGTCTTCTGCCTGTGCCACCAGGTTGGGACCTGCCTGTGAAGTGATGTGGGTGTGTCACAGCCACCACGTGCTGGTGAGGCAGAGCTCGGTCTCTGAGTGTCCACGTTGCTTTGCTGATGGTCCTGGCTCAGGAATTGAAAGCATACAGGTCCTGCCCAGACAATCCTGAAGTCACACAAGCAGTTTTCCATCATAATTCCTTTCCTCATGACACAAATCAATGCCTGTCAGTGCTGGCAGGTTATTCACATTGCTGGAAGTCTCTCCAGTGCTCTGTGTCCCAAACCAAGCCCCCCTGTGAACCTGTTTTCCACACCCAGCTGTGTGCCTGTGGCAGATGTGGTGGGGAAGGTTGAATGTGTGGCTACAACAACTGTTTTGGTGCTGTGGCTCGGGACTAGATGCAGTGGGGCTGTGGTGAGCCCAGCTGCTGCTTTTCATGGAATTTGTGCTCCCAAAGCAATGCCCAGACTCATCATGGAGTTTCTTTCCAGTGGGCTGTGGAGTTTTCTTTAAGTGAAAGTTAGGGTTTGGGTTGTTTCAGTTGCTGGTGGTCTGTTAGAGCAGCCTGAAGTACAGCTAAAGACAAGTGTCACCCAGAGCAACTCTTGAAAGGTGTGTTTTGAGAACATGAAAGGATTTTCCCAAACTGACCTGTTTTCTGTGGAAAGGAGTTAGAGGGGTGAACTGCCTGGCACAGGTTGGGTGGTCTCACCACCACATCTTCACTGTTCTCCCCTGGCAGCTCACCTTCATCGGGGGAGAAAAGATGACCGAAGTCTTCATCCATTCCCTCGAGCTGGGCCACTCAGCAGCCACACGGGCCATCAAGGCATCAGGTCTGTACCTGCTGCTGCACCCACCCACCCACTGTGGGAGTCTGCAAACCATGGGACTGGGAGGCGAAGGGAAAGAGGGGCTGGAGGGAGCATGGGCTGCGAAACATGCCTGACCCAGCCTGAGCAAAGGTTCAGACAGCTCTTTGCTAATTTGGAAGAGAAATATCCTAATTCTTGCACTCCTCTTCAGGAGCCAAGACATGGCAAAGCCTTGTTGTTTCTGCTGCTGTTAACTCTAAAATGGATTTACAATAAAACAGCTTCAAACTCATTTCCTTCCCTTCATCACCACCTGGTCAAATGCAGCTTTACATTCTTTTCTTTTCGCTGCTGTTTGTGCTTTCTCCAGGAATGGCATTTATAAAACCCATATTTCCATTTCCTTAGTTTACTGGGCAAAGCAAGGTTTGTGTGTGTGCGCACTTGGAGCCTTCCTGAATGTACATTTATGTTAGGAATTTGTAAAATTAATAATATTAGAGAGAAAGAGCAATGGCAGGAGCATCTGTCTGCCTGCAGCGTGATCTCCAGCTCATCCCAGTACCCGGGACATCGTGCTCTGGTGCAGCGCACACAGACCTCTCGTGGCCAGCCCACAGTACTGCACATAAACACGCGGCTTCATGTCCTTAACCAACTGCTTTTCTGTGATCTCGCCTTGTCTTTCTAAACAGAGCTCGTAAAACATCCCCCACATGAAGTGTCACCACCCCACTCCCCCAAAATACGGGCTTGGGCAAGACCTCTTCCCACTAACTCGTGAAACCACCAATCCTGACTCGGATGGTTTTCCCTTGGGTCGTGTGACGAAACACCACATCTGCAAAACATTATCCAGAGGGAGGGGAAAAAAAGACTTAGGAAGTGTTGGGCACACTATTTCAAGGCTAATTTAATGTGGGCAGAAATATGCCTGGAAAAACAGGAGCTGGCCTTTTATTGCTTTGTGTTTTCCCTGGAGCACTGACCCCTCTGCACCAGCTTAGCCAGCGCCTCTTTCAGTTCTGCAGAGCGGCTTGTGGTGCTTTGTGTTGGAATTTCTGCACGGCATTAATTGCTTTCTGGCAGCTTTGAAGCCACCTTTTCTTTTTTTTTTTGCCTTTTTGCTCCACAGCCGTGTTCAGCAAACCATTTCCCCCCCTTTCTGTAGATACTGATTGTGCTGCTCTATCAGTAGCCAGTGAAGGATGGGGATAAAAAGCCACTGTGTGACATTTGCTCCTTGTTTTGTGCAGGTCCAGGCAGCAAAAGGCTGGGCATAGATGGAGACAGGGAAGCAATCCCATTAACACTACAGATTGCCTACAGCAAGGTGAGTGTGTGGGACTCACACAGACAAACGGGGCAGAATCCACCTCTGTGCTGGGCAGGCAAATCTCATCTGGGGGCTGAGAGAGGCAAGGCTGACAGTCTGCTGGAGGAGCTCGAATCCAAGTCAAATTCAGGCTAATTGTCTATTTAGTGGCTAATTGGAGGTGGCTTTCCACTCCTGTTCAGCCCAGTAAAATGGAATGTGTAGCCATCTTCCATAGACTGGCTGTGTTCTCAGTGCCACTTTACACAGGTAGACTCTGCCTCCAGGGAGCAATCTTGTGGTGGGCACAGCAGTATTCCTGTTTTATTGGTTCCTCTGAAGTCATTTAGTGGTTTTGCCTGGGCAATTTTTTTGTGAATCCAAGGTTAATTGAATTTTAATGCGTACACAAACTTTGTGCAGCTCCAAGTGAATCCAGATGTGAGCCAGCCCACACTGATGGTGTGGGGTGGGAGGTAGGGTGACATCAGCCTGGAGTGTGACATTTGTGGTGGGGTCACAGCTCCAGGTTTGGGGCAGAGCAGCTGGAAAGCTGCTGGTGGGAAAGGCCCTGGGGGTGCTGGTGACAGTGGCTGGACATGAGCCCAGGTGAGCCCAGGGGGGCAAGAGGCCAATGGCCCCTGGGCTGTACCAGCCCTGGGGTGTCACAGGCCCAGGGCAGGGACTGTCCCTGTGCTGGCACTGCTGGGGCACCTCCAGTGCTGGGGCAGCTCTGGGCCCCTCGGACAAGAGAGACATTGAGGGGCTGGAGCGTGTGCAGGGAAGGGAACGGAGCTGGGAAGGGGCTGGAGCAGCAGGAGCAGCTGAGGGGGCTCAGCCTGGAGAAAAGGAGGCTCAGGGGGGACCTTCTGGCTCTGCAACTCCCTGACAGGAGGGGGGAGCCGGGGGGATCAGGCTCTGCTCCCAGGGAACATGGGACAGGACAAAAGGAAATGCACCATGGGAGGTTCAGATTGGATCTTAGGTTATATTTCTCCACCAAAAGGGTTGTCAAGCCCTGGCACAGGCTGCTTAAGGCAGTGTTTGACTCACCATCCCTGGGGGTACTTAAGAGACATGTAGATGTGGTGCTTAAGGACATGGTTCAGTGGTGGGCTTGGCAGTGTCAGATTTAGGGTTGGACTCAGTGATCTTAAAGGCCTTTTTCAAGCTAAATGATTCTGTGGATCTCTCTTCTGGGTTCTGCTTGGTCCCTGCAGACAGCTGTCAGTGGAAGAAGTCACTGGAATGATGTTGAGAAGGTCTGCACGTCTGTCAACCTTAGCAAAGCCTGCAAGAAGTATGAAGAACTTGGTGAGTGGAGGTGGTTGTGCCTAGGGAACAGTGGGAGGGACTGGTGGAGTGAGAGGACAGTGTGGATCTTCTGGCTGGGGCAAATGAGGACTGTGTGAACGCAGGAGATACATGGGAGGTGCCTGGTGTTCCCTAGTCCTTGGCTGTCCTTAGCATCACATCAGGGACAAAGGGAATTTCATGTCCCGCTGTCCTAAAGCTTCTAGCTGGAAAATGGAATATCCATTAGGGATGGGGCTGGGATGGTCCAAACAGCAGGATGATTGCTGGAGGGAAGTGCTTTCCAGAGCAACACTTGTTTAGTAAGGAGGTACAACTGTTGTTAGATGAAGCAGGACCAGGGCAAGGTGCTTGTCCTGCATCCACAGCAGCCCTGTCTCACAGCCAGCCTTCAGCAGCTCTTGCTAAGCTGGTACTTCAGCCTGGTCCCCTTCCTGCAGCTCAGAGATAGCTGTTTGCCATGTGTGTTGGCTCCATAAGTCTTTTTTTTCTAGTCAGGTTTCCAATTAATAAAGCTTTGAGCCCTTTAAAAGCACCAAGACTTTTAGTCCGTGTGTGTATTTAGAAGCAATAGAATCACAGAATGTGTCACACCGTGTGCCTGAGAGCATTGTCCAAATGCTTCTTGAACTCAGACAGGCTTGGTGCTGTGATTCCAGTGCTCAACCACCCTTTGGGTGAAAAATCTTTTCCTGAGATCCAACCTACATCTCCCCTGACTCAGCTCCAGCTGTTTCCTCAAGTCCCCTCACTGGTCACGAGAGTGATCTGTTTGTTCTTGCTTAAGAACTGCTGGTTTGGCATTCAGACATCCAATTCTGAATAAACTGAGGGATTTTTAGTTCCTTTTTCCTCGTGTGCTTTGTTCCTGGCAGATGTGGGGTTTGTGAACAGAATAGTCAGGGCAAACGCCTGATCTGCCAAATAGGAGACATCCCCTACATGCTCCATGGAGCTCCACCTAAACCTCCAGCCCTCCTCTCTCTCCTCTTGCTGCCCCATCCATGAAGCCATGCAGGCAACTCTGGGAGAAAAAACAGCAGGAATTAGTTTCTCACCTCCTCTATACTTCGAGTTGGTTGTTCCTGCTCTAGTTCAGGAGCTTCACCTGTGCTGCCAGTGCTGTGGGTTTGCATCAGGGGGTGTCCTCAGCTCCACTCTGAGGAGAAGCTTCATGGATCTCCCTCCTTCCAAGAGAAATCTGGTCCCCTGGATGATCTCCATTGGTTTTCACATTCAGCAGTTTGACCACAGGATGTCACTGTGATGCCAGGCATGAAGATGCATCTCCAAGTGGACATGCTGGGAGAGTTAAAATTTCCTCATGATGATGGGGCAATGTTTTTTCTCCTGTTTGGGTCCTAAGACAGTTAAATGTCCTCTTCCCTCTGTGTCCCTGTTGCTTGCTTTCCCTGTGGATTAGCCTGAGGGAAGGAAAGCTGGAACTGTACTGCATTTCCCCCAGCAATGGGTCCTGCTGGAGCCACTGGCCCTGGGGTGCTTTGAGGAGTGGAGGGACCACTTGGGTTCTCACCAGTGGTCCAGAAACCCCAACTGATTGCAGTTTTGTTTTGTTACAGCCTCAAAGACAGAGTGTCTCAACTTAACCATGACAGAGGTGGTCAAAAGGCAAAACTCCAAATCCAAAAAAAGTTTCAATCAGGTAACTCTAATCATGGTGCTTTTACACTTGGTGAGGTGAGGTTGGCCTGACCCAGCTGGAGAGAGCAGCTCCTTGGGGATCTGTTTGCTGGTGGCCCCCAGACCTGCCTTAGGGGTGCCCAGCTCCCCTTCCCTGCACAGGGCAGTGCCCTGAGCCCACCAGCTCCCTCACCCCAGCTCTCATTCTCTCAGCAGATCAGCGTGTCCCAGATAAAAGTAGACAAGGTCCAGATTATTGGTGTCCAGTCCTCCTTCGCTGTGTGCCTGGACCAGGATGAGCAGAAGATCCTGCAGAGTGTAACCAGGTAGGAACTGAAATGGGGGCCAACTGCACTCCTGGGATGGTGCATCCTGTGTCCAGGGCATCCTGTGTCCTGAACTGGGGGGGGATGAGGTCCTGAGCACCGTGGTGGGTCTGTGCCAGGTGCCCAAGCTGGGTGATACAGCCCCAAGCTCTGCAGGGCAGCTGAGCTCAGCTAGGGTGGGTGGTCCTGCTCAGCTCTCAGCAGGAGTTTACCTTCATGAAGGGCCCAGTCAACTCCTCAACCCTGAAGACATCTTTTTCAGCAATAAACCAGAGGCTATGTGAGATAATGAGGTGTTTGAAGAGCACTGGGTATATGAACAGAGCCTTCAACTTCTAAACCTCATTTGGGTCCTTCCCTGCCTTTGGCATCTCCACTGCAGAAGGAATCCATGATGTTCATGGGAGAGTCTGGGGTAGAGCAGGAATTGTTCATTGGACTGTTCGTCTCTGTTGTCTTCTCAGGGCACCAGAGTGGCTCCCCAGGTGGTGAAATTTGAAATCTCAGTGTAGACAAGATACTTCCATGAGCACAAGAGATCAAACCAGTTGATGTACAGACATTGTAATTTCTCCCTTAGACTGAGCAGAACTCTGCAAGGTTATGCTGCCTCTAACAGAAAAATATTGGGGATCTTATGTCTCAAATAACCCCGAAGAGAAGTGTTTCTCCTAAAGTGGTTTATCGTGAAACTCAGGGGATAGTGGAGTTCAGTGCATGAAATGGTAAAGGAGCTCTTTCTGTCTCCCCAAAACTTGGGGGGTGCAAAAGTTGTTGTTTTTCCAATGAGTTTCAGCAAATACTCTTCATGGATGGTTCTGCTCTTGGTCCCAGTCTGAGCCAGCTGAAAGATCTGAACTCCCAGCACTCAGACTCCAGTCCTGTTAAAGGCTGCACTGATTCCTGTTTGGTTTTAGACATTCCTGCTGCACCTAAGGAATACCAGGATATACATAGAATGTTCTATATTATCACAATATACTGTACTATAATATCAGAGTATACTTAGATCTTGATTTCTCTTTGTTCCCGTGCAGGTGTGAGATCTCTGTGTGCTACAAACCCAGGGACAGTGATCCCTTTGCACTGAGAGGGTGCTCTCTGCCTGCCCAGGACCCCTCTGAGTTCCACTCTCTCCTGTGTTTACCCATTGCCACCTTCAGTGGAGCACTGCCTTGAAGACCCCTGTGTCCTTCCAGACCAGACTCCCATCCAACACCAATCCAGGCTCAGGAAAAGGAAGCTGACTGTCCTTCTTTGGACACCCAGCTGTGCTCATCCAAGATGTCCTGTAGCTGAAGTGTTATTGTGGTGGCTTAGCCCATCCTTGGGAAATGGGAACGTTGGTGGTGTGCTCTGGTATCTCTCAGGGTTCCTCAGCAATGGGAGGAAAGTGCTTTCCTTGAGATCTCCAGCTGGTTCAGCCAACTGGCAACACCTGGGTGAAGAGGGCAAGGCAAGGACAGGGGGATTTTCCTGCCAGCAAAAGGTGCTGTGGCTGTGTTTGACAGTGACTGCAAGGCCAGTGGGATCTGGGGTGGGGAAAGTGAGCTCACGGGGGGGATATTTTGGCAAGTGAATGTCCTTGGCTGAGTGGTGGTGGGTGTCCTGCAATGTGTGTGGAGTTACAGATCACCCAGCCGGTGCCATTTCACCTGTGACAGGTCGAGGATGCTCAGGGCACTTCTTTGGGGATGGGGATGGGCTTTCTCAAGGTTTTCTTTAAATTCTGAAGGTTGGGTGTCTTGCAGACAAGCAGAGCAACCCAGCTGCAGCCCAGCAGGCCCCCAGCACGGGCTGTAAGCTGCTGTGTGTTCCAGTGAATTGAGTGCCATAGGCCATTCCAGGGCATGGACAGCATGCCATGTATCCGTGTATTTAATGGACATCCAGGACCTGCAGGAGAGGAGTTTCCAATTTCTGCAGAATTTCAGCATTCACCCATGAGTATTCCCTGTTCATCCCCTGGTCTTGCTTCCTGCTCCCCAGCACCGTTTGCTGGAGGCACCCCAGAGGCTGAATCCTCAGTAGCTCCTTGGAATGCATCAGGAACCATGCTGAACTCAGGGAGGGAGGGAAGCACTAGGGAAACCACTAGGATTGCCTTAAGCTCACCTGAAGAAGCACCTTTGATAGAGAAAGACCCAGCACCAGAACCACTAATGACACTCACAAGGAATAATAGGATTTGAGATCCCTCTCCCTGGCAAAAGGCATTCTTCCCTCCTCCTTCTCTCTGCAAGGCTGTAGGTACAGAAAGGTGCAATATTTGGGGGTATTTAGAGGTATTCTGACCCAGTGAGCAAAAAAATAAGACTGGAAGAGCCTTTCCAGGTTTCATAGCCCTCGAGCTGTTTCTTGGTAGTTTTTGGGGGTTGTACTGGAGATAAAGAGGAAGAAGAGCATGCTCCCTGCTTCAGGATCTTGATGCCAAGGACATGTGCTCCCTGGAAATGTCTGAAAGGGGCCCCCAGTACTGCTGGGGGGCTGCAGGGTTCAGCCAAAGTGTGATGGGTCAGGTGTGTGTGGATTCCCCCATATCTCCTGGATGTGTTTAGGGAATCCCTCCTGTGCCATCAGCTCTGGTCCTGGCCCTGCTGGCTGCTGGTCCTGCTTTCTGCTCCCACTGTGTGGCTGGGGACAGCTTGGTGACACTTGGAGTGGGGGGTCACACCCTTGGGGTCACCCCAGGGGTGACATCGTGGTCCTTGCTGGCTCTGGTGTCCTCAGCAGTTGTGTGTAACTTCTGCCAGTGGCCAGAGATGAGCAAATACGAGACATGAACACGCTCCTGAGGCCTCTGTGCTCCATCCTTCTACTTGAATCAGCCATCCCAAGGATGGTGTTGCCTTGGGGACTCCAAGAAAAGACCCTCATGTGGGGTGAAGGATCCATTGAACGTGAACATCGAACAGCTCTGGCTCCCCCAGGATGCAGAGCCAGCTTGGACTCCCAGCAAGGACCCACCTTCCCCAGCCATGCAGCGACTCCAGGAGCACCCATCTCTTCCTGCATGGAGCAGTGTCCATCCCTCACTCTCAGCACAGGCTTGGCAGGTCGTGCTGGGCTGTCTCCTCCCTCACAGGCTGCCTGCAGGGTGAGGCAGGACCACTGAGGTCACTGCTGTGCACTCCTCTGCATCACTATTCTAAACCCAACAGGCTCGAGGGATCAGAAACAGATTTTAATGGCTCTTTCCATGCACTTGGAATAAGTTTTCTTCACTGACTTTTCATTTCCCAGGCAGGTTTGTGTGTGTTTTCTCCAATGGGGCTGAAATTTGACAGCTGGTTATTGTTGTTCAATACTTTAAAATAGCACCTTATCCTGTCAAAACATTGCTATTTGTGATCTTGATATCCATGGCTAAATATATCCCTGCCACTGGTATGGTATAAACCACTCTGGTTTCAGCTGGCCCTCCAGGAATACTGGAGAAGAGAATTTCCAACCCATAGAGGAAAAACAAGCACAAACTCTAAGGACTCATAATCCTGGCCAAGGTTTTGACCTCTGATGCTTTCAGGTCATCTTTGTACATATGTGCAGCCTCACCAAATCTGTGTAAAGTCTGTGCTGATCTGTAAAATACTGTTCGAAGAACTTTTACAGTAATTGTAAAGTATTAAATGTTGATTTATTTCGAGTACAAGTTTGGGTCAAGTAATTCCTGAGCAGGGGGGAGGCAGGGGAGGAATCTCCACGAGGAGGACACGCAGGTCCCTCAGAGAGGAGCTGCTCTGGGAGCAGGAAAAAGCTTATAAAAGCCATTATAGTCATGAGCTTGGTCCCAGAGGGCACGACACGGAGACCTCCGGAGGTTAATTGAGCTGCTTCTGTTCTGTGAGTGAAAAAGCAGGTTTTGATGTTGTAAATCCCAAATTGGCTTCGTGTTGGATTAAGGGGAAAAGAAACGAGCAGGGCTTGTGTGCACAAGGTGAGATCTGTGCGTGCCCTTCCCTTCTCAGAGGCTCCGTGGCCTTTGCTGTGTTGATTTGCTCCTGGGGCCAGGGACAAGGTCCAGCCTGGGGGGACAGCAGAGCTCTGGGATGAAGGGTCCCTGCTCAGGGTCAGCAGGTGGATATTACAGAATGACAGAATATGCTGATAACTGAGGGATTTCTGACTTGGAAATCCCTTCTGCTTCTCTGGGGATGCAGATTGGCAGCTGGAGCTGTTGCTACTGAAAGTGCTCTGAAATATGAAATGACACTTGGAAACATTAAACTCTCTCCACTGTCACCTGTGGATATTCAAGGAAAGAGGCTCAGTTGGTGGGTGTGAGGGCCAGTGTGTCATAATCAAATAAACAACGTGGGAAAAGTCATTTGAGCTCATACAAGCCAAAAACCAGATGAGAATAACTTCTGTTAATCAGCACTTTGTCATGTATTAGCTGTCTTTTTTCACTCTGATTAAACAATAACAAAAAGTGTATTTTAACTAAAAAGGTCTTTTGAAAAGGCAGATAAGGAAAACTTTCCAAGCTGGAATGATAATCTGCTTTTGTTTGTTCTCAACGACAAAAACACCCCTAAACCACAAATTCCCCCCCCTCTGTTCTTTTCTTTTATAGAGGTAAGTGGAAAGAGGAACATGTATGATTAAATCTGAAGCAGTAAGAAAGTACTTTGGTCTAAAAATGTCCATGTCAAGAAGTTTGGGATCAGGGTTCAAATCTGATCCCTGAAGTCCTGCACAGCTGAGGTGAAGTGGCAGTTTCAGGTGCCCTCCTCTCTCAGGGCTTGTCATCCCACAGCCACCTCAGCTGGACTTGGCAGAGCTGGAATGTTCTAGTGCATGAGGTGAAGGACATCATGAGCCAGTGCTCATCCAGAGAAGGGGTTCTTAAGAGGCCACTCACGATCTGGTGGTTAATTAGAAATACAGAATTAATTAGCATCAAAAGACAGGAATGAGCTGGCACGTCCATGGGCTTGTGCAGCTCAGCACTGCTGACCCCCTGCATGTGTTGAACTGGTTGGTTGTTGGAACTGTGGGACAAACCTTCCTCTTGTACTTCTGTTTCCTGGCAGGCACACGTGTAGTTCCATGGGTGTCATTTCTAGGTGTCCCACAGCAAGAGACCAGCAGATGGGGGGATGACTCCAGGTGTGGAAGCCCACAAAGACCTGGGGTTTTGGGGACCTCAATTAGGCTGAATTAAGACCTGAATTATTTCCAGGAGATCTCTTACAGGAGGCGTGTCAAAGGTGCTCATCTGCTCTCTCAGCAAGAAGTAGCAGAGAGCAGAGTCAGCTTCCCAGCAGTGCTCAGTCCCTGCATTCCATTACAGGACTGGGATTAACGTGCCTGGGATGTCTCCTGGGTCACAGCCCCATACCATCATCCCTTCCTTTCTGTCTTTTTGCTGTCTGTCTGCTCCCATCTCTGCAGCTCAAATTTCCTTCAGCCAAGGCAGGGGCACCTGGGGCCAGCTCAGGTCCTGCTGAGAGCGAGCCCCAAGCTGGGCTCCTTGCCTGAGTCAGCGATGGGCTAACCCGGCCACGGTGCCCAAATTCTCCACCCTGCCTGACTCAGAGGGGTTTGTCAAAAGACACACCAATAGTCCAGCACTTCCAGAAGAAAAGGGAGAAGCAAAAGAAATCCAGAGAATGTCTTCTCCTGCCAAATTCCCTGCCCTGGTTTCCTCTTGTGGCTGCAAGTTTCTGGGCTGGTAGATCCGGCTGCTTCCCATGTGCACGTTTTAGCTGCTTTTACAGGAAGTTGTAAAGTAAAGATTGGAAACTTCTGTGAATTTTACTAATTTCTGAAGGGTTCTGTCCAGCACCTGTGACTGAAAAGGGCATCCCTGGTTGTTTCAGGACTGACCTTTGCTCAGGACTAACGGGTGAAGCAGGACAAGTGGAACTTTCCTGGGCTCCAGGCAGCTGTTCACCTCTCCTGGCAGTGCCTCTGCTCCACTGCCCTTATCTTACCGGTGCTAATCAATGATCAATTAAAAGTTAATGAGGCTCCCTGTGCCTGCATGAAGAACAGAGTTTTCCTGGCAGGGAAAAGTCACTGGAGAGCAGTAATGGTGTGCTAATGGTACAGTTGCATAATTATCAGTTTGTTCCATGCCTGTCTGGCTGTGAGTCGGTGCAGACAGATGACTGCATGAGGAATGGGGGGCTTTTCTGTCCCAGTCCCCAACTCACCTTCTTCCAGTATTCTCTGTGCCCTCAGAATCCCCTCTCCTCTCCACAGGCACCTTCACTGCAGCACTCACAGAAAGACATGCAAAGGTTAAGGGGTTGGAAAGCACATCCTAAAACTGAAATCCAAGTCAAAGCAAGCATGAAAAATATTCTGTGTTGTTTACCCATCTCTAGGATAACCTGGACTTGGGTTTGGCCACATAAAACTCTCTGGGCAGCAATGGGCCAGTGTAATGCTGTGTTTTTAGCTGGTGTTTCCAGCCACAGGGAGGGCCTGGAGCAGGGGGGCTCAGTCAGATGAACGCTCTCTGTCCTCACAAGGGCAAGTCTTGCTTCTGGCTGTGGCACCTCTTGCATCAGGGCTCCTGTGTGACCACTCTGTGGCCAAAGCAACGGCATGGCTGTGACCAGGAGAGTGCAAACATGATGGTGAGGCGTGGATGGGCTTGGCTGCCTTTGTGTGCTGGTGATTGCAGTGTCTCAGGAGACACTGTGAAACACAGGTTGAGATGTTGCCCCTGTAACTAGAAATCTGGGGAGGGTCTGTCAGGGCACCCAGGACCTGGGTCCTCCAGGGAGGGTCTGCTGGGAGATCCCTGCTTTGGGACTCAGCGAGGGGCTCCCTCTTGCAGTCACTTTTGGAAATAGGTGGAGAAGAAGTGAGGTTGCAAGACTGGAGAAGGCTGATGACAGAGGGTGTTGCAGGACACGTTGGGGGTAGGCAGGGTGAGCAGGCAGTGCAGCACGAGCTGCTCAATGTCCCCTCCTGGGCATGCACTAGGGGCTGGTTCCTGAGTCCAGCCCTCTCCTGGGCTTATCCAAATAAGCAAACCTTGAGATCCAGAAACAACCTGCCCCTTTCTCTGCCTTCGAAGCTTAATCAGCATTTCAAAAGCCCTGCTCTGTTCATCCTGAACAACAACTGTAGAAACAGCTTCTCCACTCAGCTTATCAGCTCAGCGAGTGCTGCAGCGGCTGTGATTAAAATGAGCTGTTTCCTTTTGCACTTTATCTCTGGCAGAACCGATAAGCTCAAGGAACTGGGCTCTTTCCAAAACCGTCACATTGGTACCATTCTGGGAAGAAGATCCCGGGAGTGTGAGCAGCAGGCACATAACCCTTGGTGTACGTGTGTGCAGCACGTCAGATTTGGGGCAAAAATCTGTCCCTATTTCAAGAGGCTGATCTCTTCCTCAGCACTGCCGAGTCACTGACAACCCCTGTGAGCACAAACATGCCCAGCTCATCAGCACGAGGCAGTTCCAGCACCCACCATGGATCCCTTTCCTCCAGGTGCCTCAAAGTTTCCTGCTCACAAGTGGGTAACCTGTGATTGATCAATCTGTAGGTAAGAAACTGCACCTCCTGGTGCTGGTACCTGTACAGTATTTACCAATTAAATGATATTTTTCACTTTTGCAGGACAAACTGAGACTTGAACAGTCTGTGGTTGTTTATTATTATTATTATTATTATTATCATCATTATCTTTTGCTGCTGCTCTCTCCTTATTATGATTTTTTTTCAAGACAAAAAGAGTTGGAGATGACTCAGTTTAGAGAAATGAAAAAGGCAACTTAAATACCATCAAACTGGCTGTTTGTTTGGCTTTCCCTCTCCCCAAATCCACCCATCATCTATATTTGCTGAAGCCGGAATAAAAATAGAACAGGGCTGAGTGCCAGGGTGGAAAATAGAGATGCAGCATCAAAATATTGCTTGGTTTGTGACCTGTTCCCTTATAAACTGTAAGGAAATCATCCACGGACAGAAGTGTCGGGGGTTTGGACATGTGCCAGGAGGAGGTTTCCCTGCAGGATGGGAGTGGAGCTCAAACAGCGCCGCTTTCTTTGCCCAAATACCTTTGCTTCCCTCAGAAACTCAGATGACCCGGGAGGTATGTTATTGAAGCAGCCACGTAATGACGGAAAACTGAAGCAGGGAGAAGTAAAGCATCCGCGAATAGAAACCAGGGCAGGAGGAGAGTTGTCCAGAGCTCCCCTTTGACGGGGAGGGTGTGGAGCAGTGGCCAAAATAGGAACGGAACGTCAGCGCTGCGATGGGGAGGAGAAGCAGCCCCGCCTCTGCCGGCCCCACTTGATGCCAGGGCTGGCACTGCCACCGCTGCTCTGCCAGCCCTGTCAGTGCCAGTGCCGAGAGGGGCTGAGAGGGGCCGGCGTGTGACCACCGGGACGGACCCAGACCTGGTGAGTCGGCTGCTGATCTCGGTGGGGAGCTGCTGCTGCCGGCACGAGTTCAGGCAGCGGTGGGATCTCAAGAGCACAGAGAGCTGCGTGCTGCTCCCATGGCAGGAAAGCCCCTTTCTGGGCAGCAAGTTCCTCTCCAGGCTGGAAACCTCA